AAGTCGGTCGACTGGCATACGCAGGACGTGGCCAAGCCAGCGCAACCTATGCAGTGTGATCAGTTCATCTATCGAGGGTGAGTTATTTCTCCCGAATACCATTCGACGTACTTCAGAATTGCTGATCCGGTGTTCCCACCAGATTCGAGCAATGCTCCGAAGACATCGATGGTCAAACACTGAAAGTCTTTTGACGTCCTCGGCGCGCAGCGGCCAGGTTTCTGACCCTTATAGTAATATGGAGCGCACCGCAGCATTGTCAACTCGACCCTTGACAGAGAAGCTGATGTCACGCCTACGCTAAAGGTGACACAGGTTCACGAAAGCTGCTCCATCTTATGGGACATGCGACTTGGCCGCCTTTCCAGTTGTCGTGAGGCTTGTAGAATGTGCACATCTTCCAACCTAGATAGGTTTTCGTTCCACTGAACCTTTCAAAGTGTCATACGGGTCTTTGATGGTCAGATTATCCAACAAGACCAGCCTATCGTTTGTTTCTGCCCCGTAAATTACAACATGGTTTGGATTTTGGGATGATACTAGGTGAGATTGAGCTCTAGAAACCAGGATGTCGTCAGCGTATCGTTCTCCGAAGAAAACTATTGAAATCGAATTCGTCAGTTTTCCTTCACGCCTTTCTAAAATCACCCATGAATTTCTTTGTTTGCTTCCCGTTCCTTCAATTTCTGACTGAAATTTTGTCCTGCAAGTGAATCCGACCAATGCTGAGAAAGCCAAGAAGCACTGTGCAGCTGTTTCGTCCATACTGAGAATCATCAGTAGTGCACAGTTGAAATGGGAACTTATCGTTCAGCAGTCAAGACGTCTATCGAATAATATAGCAGTGAAAACCCTGATTTTCGCAGATGTAGCGTCTTACTTCGTAGTATTTTTTACGCGGCCGTAGAGTTAAAACGAACTACGTCACTGCAGCGTACGAAGCATAAGTGTTGCATGAGGCTTGAGATATCTGGTTTTCTGTCGTTCCGTTTGTATTAGGACTGTTGTAATTAACTGCTGTCCCGGCTCCAGTGACTTAGTGTCAGAAAGAGACTTGCCAACAAGAAACACAACAGCTTTATTGCTAACAAGTCAGTGCCGGAAATTCCACAGGCATCGCGGCCATTAAAGTCTTGAATCCAGACAGTCCGATCGGCGTTGGATGAACGCTAATAATCGCTTGAACACGGCGCTCGGTATTCGCAAAATGGAATAGAATTTTCGAAGGCTACGATGTGTGACTGATGTATTGAAACAGACAGACAATTGAGCTCAAAATACCAGTCCAAACTTTTGAGCCACATCTAAACTTCCCGGGGGCTCAGTGATGCTAGGAAGGTATTCCACCAGAGGTATGATTGCTTCAGTGGACAATGAAATTTCGTGAAAGTAGACTAGAGTGGCTTTTGGTTTGAGCACATACGCAACAAAATGCAACATTTTGGCCCAAAATGTTTCATTCCAATCGCAAAGGCCTTGTAGTTAAGAGCATTGTGAGGCCGAAAAGAACCCCCTTGGACGCATCATGGTTGGCAGTGCTTGTGTGGCGCGCCTGATAGTCGTCAGCCGTTGTTGAACTGATTGACCACATGAGCGTCCAGTCGGCAGCTGACTTTCCTAGCCCAGATGCTTGATGGCTTCTCTACCGCGATTGTTATGGGGTTCCAACAAAATGCAACATTTTGGCCCAAAATGTTTCATTCCAATCGCAAAGGCCTTGTAGTTAAGAGCATTGTGAGGCCGAAAAGAACCCCCTTGGACGCATCATGGTTGGCAGTGCTTGTGTGGCGCGCCTGATAGTCGTCAGCCGTTGTTGAACTGATTGACCACATGAGCGTCCAGTCGGCAGCTGACTTTCCTAGCCCAGATGCTTGATGGCTTCCCTACCGCGATTGTTATGGGGTTCGAGGGTCTCAGTAGGTTTCGGGCATTCTGGCATTACTTTCAGGAATGGGACCTTTCTGACAAGCACCATGTTTTTTCTCAATCTAGATTTACCTCAACGTACTCGATGCATTGATTGGACAAATACTTGGTTCCTTATTTGATGATCTTTCTTGAGTTTCTGTCTGGTTCTGGAAAAAGGAGATCTGTCTGAGTTAGACGGTTCCCTGATGATGTTCTTTCGGGGAAGGGGTCAGGCCTTTTGACGGGCGTTCTGGATGTTTGGCAGCTCATCTACGTGTTGACGGTTATCCTGATTTTTTTGGCACCAATGAGAAGGACTGACCATGTGAATAGTTTGCAACGGCACTCTTACGGATAAGGGTATATCTTCCCGATTCAAAAATAAGATCCTGAATCACTTTTCGGTTTTATCGACCATATCGTTAAACCACCGGTTCGAATCCTTCAGGTCGCTGCCTAGTCTCGTCTCGAAAACGGTGTGTACGCCTTCTTTCACGAACAAAAAACCTATAACGAAATACATTTTACGAGTTTGGTCTTCTGTTTTGCGGAGTGCTGGTCAACTGGAAGCTCTGTGAGGTCTCCAAATGTTTGTCAGCCGTGGATTCAGATGCTCTGATGTAAGTGTTGGTAAGCAGCACAAAGCGCTTACGAGCGAAATTGTGTCTTCCGTCAAGAACTGAACAAAAATTTAGTAAAAGTTCACCGAACCTTGCAATATAGTCGCAACTGATAAACAATGTCCCGCACAATACGATCAAGAGATTCGTAATGTTGAATTCTTTTGGTTCGAGAATAATAACAGACGCTGTTCGCGCGTTTTTAACATTTCGTCTTTATATCATTCCGTATGGTTTAGGAGGCTCAACTCACTGGCTGTTTCCGCATTTCATCCTGGATCCTGTTTTGCTCTTGAGTTACTTGGTGTAGTTAGTTCTTGAGTACAATTGGCCACAAAATTTCATTCCCTTGTGCTTCAGAAATATGATTTAATGAATCACGTCTCGCACCAGTGCATAGTCATGCAGTTCATGCTGGAGCTGGCCAAGTCTTTGAAGTGTGACCCTCGTGCTTGCGTCCGTCCATTCTTTGCCAAGTGAGTCTTTGTCCGTTTTTCGTACATTTTTCACGTTGGCCACTTTAGTATCATCCACTGCCTGCTTCCCTGGTTTACGGTTTTACGGGCTACTTTTCTAAGTAATTGATCCAAAAGAACGCACTCTAAGAAAAATTGGTATCTGGCCTCCCTTTGGGGTGTCGCAATCTAGGTCGTGGCTGATGGGTGATACCTATACGGAACCTCCATAGAGTGGTCTCTTCCCGACAAAATCTCTCTTTAGTTTGTCTGACGCGCCCTCGTGTTCAGTTCACTCTTGACCGGAATTACTGTAATCAAGGGGCCACGCGCTGCCCATGTTTTCGATTCATTCTCCCGAACATATCAACTATCGTTTTACCTCCTGTCCACAGATTCATGAATCCAGAACCCGAATATCAAAAAGCATTTGATGACGAGCTTTCAGCCTTTCGTGACCGTATCCGTGCCCGTGCGAAAGTCCGGATCGAGGAAGCCATGATGAAGTTGGAAGAAGTGAGTCTCATGGCACATCAGCTGTCCCCTCACCTTTGTCTCCGGTTTTATCGCCCTCTGACAACTCCTCGTCTCTCTCTTAGGAGGAACGTGAAAAACGTCTTGGTCCTGGTGGTTTGGATCCAGTTGAAGTTTTTGACACTCTTCCTCCAGTAAGTGTTCGGTTCTTATGGCCTGATTTTCTCACCATGGAGATCTCTAATTCGATATCGACTGGGTATTCTGCCACTCCTTCCCTCAACCTTGGTATTGTGCGTTCAAAATGTGTCATATCTTCGTTACGTAACTATGTCCCAGTTGTTTTCTTATAGAAATTGGGTAATGCGCAGTAAACCTGCTCGATGAGGCAGTCTCCGTCTGAAATAGTCGTTTTCGTTTTTCATTTTGATCAATGAAATTCCCAAATCTCTTCATACTACCTACAGTCAAATAAGTAGCCGCTACTCTCTTGCCCTCACGTCCACGAATCTCTTGAACCACCAGTGCTCTCTACTTAAATGGTAGGCATTTTTATGAACGGACGGACGGTCTGTTGTGACAATTCTTGCAGTGATTGCCTCTGAGACGGTCTTTTCATCATGTCACCCCTCTGCCTCTCTGTCTTTATAGTGCTATTTTGCTTTCTGGATGTCGTTTACAGTTTGGACCATGTTTTGACCATTGCGAATTTCATCATGTAACGTGTACAGCTGTTTGTAGACTCCCGTTGCCTGGATTACTGTGCCTTCCTGGCATGTGGCCTCCCTTATTTCCGCTACCTGGATTATTTGGTCACCTATAACTCCCCATGCAATCAACAGCAGGAATAGAATGCGCGGGCCACGTTGGCCCCGCCGACTTTTCTCATTGTCTGTCGCAATCTACTGTCAGTGGAACCAAAATCGTCGAATGTACTTCTGTTTCCGTTGTTTCCATATTCAATTAAGAGAGGCGCAAGCATAGAGGTGGTTAGCTTTTGACCCTAGCAAAGGGATATGNCAACCAAAAGCAGGAATAGAATGCGCGGGCCACGTTGGCCCCGCCGACTTTTCTCATTGTCTGTCGCAATCTACTGTCAGTGGAACCAAAATCGTCGAATGTACTTCTGTTTCCGTTGTTTCCATATTCAATTAAGAGAGGCGCAAGCATAGAGGTGGTTAGCTTTTGACCCTAGCAAAGGGATATGAACGAGATTACGAAATGTTCGGGTGCTATCGGCACTACTCACCTCCCAGGATGGGATTCACGTGACCCTCACTTGGCCAGGTTGGAGACGCTGCAAGATATAGCTACTAGTCGATGCCAGTGGCGTTCTTGTTATCAGTTTCCATCCAGATGGTCTGAACGAGTGTCTCGAGGTGTAGTAGCCTAGCACCAAGCCCCCTTCCTTCACTTTAAATTACGGTTGTACGACAATGAAGCATCAGTGTTGAATACCGATATTGTACTGTCGATGTTGATGTCGTCTTGTGATTTCCATGGTATTTCTAAATCGCTTTCTCGTGGAAATGTTGTTCTCCAGAACTTTGGCGTTCCTCCACTTATCCCGAGCATTTGACCAATATATCCCAATAATTAAGGGGCCAGCTACCAAGCATCAGACTCATGAGTCGACTCGTCTTTGATTTTTTGACTGCTTCTGTCTGGACTTTGGAAAATTGGAAGTTAGTCAGCGTTACTTCGGATTCTCTGAAAACTCCCTCAGTTTGGCAGTTCCGCCGCAGTCGTTCGTTCTACATCTATTTCACTGTAGAGCAGTTCTCTTGTTTCACTTAAGAAAGGTGTCCCCACCGGTGTTTTGGATTATCTAGGCGCATATTGCCGACCACGCCGAACATGTTCCTCGCAAGTCGCCCACGTTTCGTGGACTTGATCCTATTTACACGTCGATAGTTTTCATTAGATGACCAGTATTCTTGTACTCCTTTTTCGTACTCCTACTTGATATTTTCCCCGTTCAGGAAACGTTCGGATGCATTGGAATGATTGTAAACGTTGTAGATGAGTTTGAACTCATTACTGTTTTACGGTATTCTTGGTTGTATAGAGTCCATCACGTGAAAATTTGGGGATCGTCTGTCAGTTCATGGTGAATTGCACAAAAATCTTTCGAGAAACTCGCACAATAAGCTTCGACTAAATTCGCCTTTTGGTCGAAAACGAATGCTGTGGTGTTGTTGTACCCTAGCGCTTATCACCGAATGTGATGCAGCACTAACTCTGAGTGCCGACCTCGTGTTCATGCTATTCTTCACTCCATACCAAGACCACATCCCTCCTATGACTAGTTTTGCCTAGCTTCTTTGAGGTTGTAATAGCGAAGGGTTACCCTGCGGCTTTTGCGTTCTTTACCGAATTTTTATAGATAAACGGGAGCCAGTTAATCAGTGACTCATTTTTAAATGGCATTTTCTGCAGCAAAGTTAAAATTCTATTCTAAGTCTCACAGGCGTCATTTTATGTGACTAAACAAAAGCCAGCACAGAAAGTTGTAAAGGACCACTCATTAGGTAGATTCTGCTGCATGTGGAATTTTTGTAATCTTCGTCTGAATGTTTGAGTTCTCATTCGAAACAAACCTCTTGATTTACCTATGGAGGTGAATACCATTGTATGTCTTTTGTGTATTCCTATGCCAACGTCTCCCTTAGCACTCTGCTTAGTTTTCATCCGGCTCCTCCCAGGTATAAGAGGGACCCCACAAATTCATTCATAACCAGCAACCGAACGTTTTCCACCCTAGTGTCAGTTTCCTTCATGGACCATCCTTCAGAATCTAGATTTTGCAAGACCAGTTGCAGGCGGTGCTCTGATAACATCAGTTCAAAATGTATCATACGAGTGGTGCACCTGCATCTGCCTTGATTCGTAAAGTTCCCTTACTATGTTGTTGGATTTTTCTCCGAGTTTGGCAGTCGGATCGCAAATTTTTCACCTTGTCAGCCGCAAATAAATGGTTTCTGCTCCGTTGGAAAAAAAACGTTTACTATACGGATGCGGACAGCCCTTCTGACCTATCCGTATTCCTCAGCATTGCCATTACTATTTTTGACACGTTGCCCCGTGAACTTTGTAAGTACGTATAAATGTCCTGTATGAAGCAAATTCAACGTAGCAATGGCCCAAAGCAGTGGCATCGGAAGGGAGGATGTCCATCTTTATCATGTGGCAATAAGCTGAGCACCCATAGAGTAGGAACACTCTTCCTTGTTCGGGATTGTCGACCATTTTCCAAGCTCCCTTCGCCATAACTCGCGCTTGAATTTGAAAATTCCAACCGAGATTTTGTCCTGCTTTATTGGAAATTATTAGCAGCGCGCATCTCACGAATCTGTAGGGAGACCCGATCTCCTGGCTACTAACTGAAAACCAAACTGTTCAGCCACAAGTGGCTGATCGTCACTGTGGATACTCGCACTCCCCCACCTTCCACTTTACTAGTGGGATGAAATGTCTCACGAAATCCCCAAATCTCTTTTCTGTGTGTAATTTATCTCAGAATGGAAGTAATCTCACAAGCCACGCGGGCCTTTTACCAGCAAGGTCATCATCCAAGGAATCAGTCAACATCGAGGTACCTAACACGGACCTGATGATAAATGTATGGACTGCCCATAAGTATAACTTGCATCGTTCATTAACCGTTCGTGACAGGACGCCACAATGTTCAGCTGCCAATTATGGGAATACAGATTCAGGTCCCCGTAAAGATTCGTCGAATGCTTACTGTTGATGTGGCTCGTAACAAGAGTAAAACAATAAAGTGAACTACTCACAAATTTACTGAAACCCATTCGACAACTGATGACCGGTTTCTCCCTGTTTGGGCCTCACCAGTTAGGTTCAAGCCCCGAGTTTCCGTCAAACTTATGCGAGACTCAACTGGATTTCCTGTTTATGATATTCTGCTATATATATATGTACTACAATATTTCGAATATTGTAGCAACTGAAACATGAAGCGACCTTTGTGCAGCACATCCAATTGAACAATATCAGCATAGGTCTACTCTACTTGCATGAGAAAGTCTTGAGTGAACTAATGCGAGTTAGTTCACTCAAGACTAACTCGCGTTAGTTCACTCATGCGACATACGGGTCTTCAGCATTTCACAGCCACCCACCCAACTGCACACTGATGAGGTCTGCTTGTATGGTGACGAAACGTCTGCAAGCCAATTGCCAACCTCGGCGAACAGATCAACAGCCACCTGATCAACAACCAATAATACAGTCAGACTCTAGGTCAACCCACTTCTTGGGGAACAGATTATTGGTTCTCTGGGTAATGAAGTAGTGGAAATGCTTTAACCCGCAAGTGTGTATGTGTGTACCCTTCATGGAATCTTGCGGATGGTCTATTCTATAGGTGTTCTTTTCTCAGGAGTACTTTTGTTTGCTACAACATATGTGACCTCTATTCCCTGAACTCTTTGGCTTTTCCCGTCTCGTTTTACAGGCCCTTCAGGAATGCTTCGAGAAAAAGGATGTTGAAATGCTCAAAACTGTTCTTTGTGGCATGGACCCGAAAGATGCTGAGTATCACATGAAACGCTGTGTGGACAGCGGACTTTGGGTAGACAATGTGAACAAAGAAGAGGATGGAGAGGAAGAGGGAAAGGAGACCACCGGGTCGCCAGCTCAACCTGGTCAGCCAACTGAAGGTGATGTGGCTTCCCAGCAATCCTCGGACCCTATTGTGTAACCGCACACACACGTACACATCTGTGGCCAATCCAAATTGATTCATTCATTGTTTTCACTTGAGAAACGGTGCGGCGATCTACCAACTATGCACATATTTGCCATCTCTTAGTTGAATCGGGCTATCGCTCTGCAGCACATCTAACTCATCTCTGCCTCGTTCAGTGTTAAAGCGTTTCACATATTCTGCTCACCCCGAGCTTGTATTACTTTATTGCCACTTGGCTAAAAGCTGCTGCATCGATTAGGAATCAGTTGTGGTGTTTTTTACAGTCGATCAGATCGGATTGGTCAGAGTTCGCTATTCGTCTCATAGATTGCTTAGAAGTGTGGACCCATGGGATCAGTACAGCTAACACATCCCGTCATTATCATCGGTTGTCAAAACACCGTACTGACCGTACAGTGGTTCTAGCTGCCACGACTTCGTTCATCGATAATATGGGGAGTTGGGCTAGATAGCTGCTCGAGAGGGGAGCTAGGCACTGAAGGCAACAGCTAGGACGTACGAGTGCCGTGACTTATACTGTCTCTAATCGCTGGCGTGGATTCCCTTGGAGCGACGGCAATGATCAGAGTAGCTGAGTTTGCTAATAATGGCTTTCACAATTCGCTGCCAAGTCATTGTTTGACATCCCCTGGTTCGTTCCCAACCTTTAAGTGGTTGTGCGAAAAGAGCCCTTCGGGGAAGTCCGTCGACTGGGATACGGACCATGTCTGCACATTGCAAACTGAGGCAGATTTGTTCAGGTTATTCAATTTTGTTTGGGCCGTCGGACTCAAGAAGAGGTTAGGTTATCAGAGCTCTTCTGCTAGCATGGAAGTACTCGCCTGTGTTTCTGCCACTAGTTGGGGACGTTGTGAACATCCGGTTTTGTGTCGTATTCAGCTCATCATCATCGACAGCATGACATCAGTGTTCAACACCGATGCTTCACTGCCGTACAACCGTGATTTATTTGAAAGCCCTATTGTAAAGAAAAGAGTAAATGTGGACAGGGGAGGGACTTATGCTAGCCTACCACAATCATTCCGAGGTGCCTATACCTCCAGAGACTCACTCAGGCGATCTGGATAGAAACTGACAACAAGAACGCCACTGACATCGGTTGTAGTGTCTCAAACCAGGCACAGGGAGGATCACGCGGTCCTCATCCTGGAAGGCGAGTAGCACCGACAGCACCCAAGCGTTTCGTGATCTCCTTCATATTCCTCTGCCAGCCACACGAGCTATGGTTCTGAGACAACGATTGTCGAACACCTGAAGACGTCTCAGGTCCGCTGCTCGAATAGGCCAACTCTCACAGCCATACAACAAAACAGCCCGTACTGTAGCTTGATACACACGTCCCTTCAGATTCAAGGATAAACCATTCTGACGCCATAGCTGTCTCAAGTTAGCAAACGCGGTCCGAGCCTTGCAGATTTGTGCATTCACCTCATTTGTCACATCGTATTTGCCCCGATTACCTCCTTCACTCTGAGAATCACGAATTATCGCAAATTTAAACACTATCTGGGTTAATTAAAGTGGGCATGAAAAATTGTACGAATCGGACGTTTTAAGAGTAAGTGATCATTTTCTGCGTATCCTCGGGTATTTTTTGTTTTCGTTAGTAATCGAAGTGCCTCTGATTCGCTCGTCACAAAGTTTTAAGAATTGTCCTTCATGTAGAAATACTTTTATACTACCAAGTTTGTGAACTAATCTTGCCGTTCCGTTGCAATGAATCCAATCTACTAGATCGAGTGAGACCCAACGCTTGCAACAGTAGTCGTAATAGAATCGAATTCGCTTGTCGTTCTGATTTCCAGCATTATCAAAAAATTCCCTCATCTTTACAAAATGGTTCACTTGTTCGCAAGGAGCTTCAGTATGTGCCGTTGAGATTTCAACACAATACGCAAGACGTTTGTAGCTCCTCCCTGTTTGAGTGGAGATCGACTGAAATGGATGCCTTCCCTCAAAAATCAAATTGCGCTCACCGCACACCCCACTAAAAGTAATAGTTTCTATGAATTTTCATCTTGTACGACTAGGGTATTCAAAAACCGCGTTTTTTCAAACTAGAGATATACTGTTCAAAGGTTAAGTGGATGGGATTTTTGTTCTCGGGGGAATCGCCCTTTATTTTGACCTCGATGATGACATTCCATCCAACTTACACGTTCTCCACTGTGAAAAATTGAGCAAATTCTTGCTTTCCTTAATACTCAAACGGCATCCGGGTAAAGCTAACCGTTTCGGTCTGTCGTACAATAACGAGGGCTGAGGAGTTCATACAATTCAAGTTGTGTGCCTGTGGCTTATGGGTTTGACCTACTCATCATCATCATTGTCAGCTGTACTAACCGCGTACTTGTTGTAGTTGTGTTGTAGCTGCCACAGTTTCGTTCGCCGATGATTCGGGGAGGTGAGGTAGGTAGCTCCGCATCGGAGGCGGGAGCTGATAAATTAATGCGTAAATACAGCACTGTAGGTGGATTGTTAAGTGGGGGGGGGTCGAGAAGGGAGCTATGCATTGAAAGCAGTAGCTTGGATGCATGAGCGCCATTGAGGGCGCGACTGGGCCATGTCTGTCCTATTCGGAGCTCTGTCATATGCAGTTACAGTGGGAACTAGTTCTGAAATCATTTTACCGGACTTGGAGCGTGCTTCATCGTCGTTAGATAAAGCACCATCAATGCTGACAACCGCAAGGTGCATATTTAAAACCTTATGGTAAAGCAATACGAGACATTCGATGAGAGATTAACCTGGGGCTGGCTGGTCTACCACAGGCATTATGTGTTTACACTCCCAATCAGGCCGTCTGAAAAGAAACTAACAGCACGAATATCGGTCAGGTGCAATTTCTTGTGTAGGGGGATAATGGGGACCCATCCTGGAAAGCGAAACATGAACAATCCATAATATCCTACATACTTCTTTCCCACAATTTGTGGCATCCTGTAGGAGGCACGGAGAACAACATTTGTCTCGGTAGACGATGTTTCGGTCTGCGTAGCACATATTTGACCCACCACAGGTGATGGTGCAAGATGTTTTCCGCGACTGAATTGCCTGCCGCGCGTTTCCCAATAGTCTCATTACAAATTCGTTGGTGTGGTTCGACACCAGTAACACTTCTGAGATGTCTATGACCAAAAATAGGAATACATTCCAGGTCACCTGCACATGAGGGGCACAGCAACACGGCTCATAATGCGGCCGGGCACAAGCAACCCTCGAAACCAAGCTATTTGCCTTTTTGGAGGCGAGACGGCCCAAGTGGTTAGAGCGTGAATTTACTGACCGGAAGGTCCGTGGTTCGAATCCGACCTCCGCCACTCGACTTCCCCTGTCTAGGCTTGGGCAACCTGGCAGTATCCCAGCCCTCGTGCTCCCTTCGGGTGGCATGGCAGCTAGGCACCGGAAGGGTGCTACAGCTGAACGCTTTCTTTCTTTCATTTGCATTTTTGACACCGTAATTGATGCAAACTCTTCGTGATTCGGGTACTTACACTTAAGAGCTACTAAAGCTACCGAGGCATGTAAAATTCTCCACTGTTTCCACTCGAATTGAGAGTGGAACGTCCAGAGACTATACTTTATGAATCATGTCAGCAATTTGGAACAACTCATTCAACTGAGAGTGACGCAGTTCGCTCTGTTGAGAATGGAGAATAGTCCTCATGGTTATCTGCTCACCGGCACTGGACAAAAACTGACAGCGATCTTACTTGTTCGTTTGACTCTTGTCGTAACTACGTGGACAAACAGCAGAGGGTATTTGGTCCTTTCAATCATGACTCGAGACAACCGCACAGCGATTGAAATAGAAAGTGTTACGGCATCCCCATCAGTATGAACTCCAACGACTTGATGTGCTCGTTGGTGTACCATCTGACTTGTTTGTCTTCACATCTGATCCACTACTCGGTGTTCGTTCTTTAGGTACTTATCGCTAGTACATCATGCCAAACAAGATTGATCGAAACATAAAAAATAGCCTAGGTTGCTCGGAGCAGGATTGAGTCAGAGGATGTGGCGACGATCTATGTACGCCAGGAACATAGAGAATAAGGTCCTTCAGCCGCGGAGTATGTCACAAGCTGCGGTCCTATGCCACTCATGTCGAGCTGTCGTTTCCCCCAACAGGTGAGAAAAGTAGACCGCGAGGAAAAGGAATAAAACGGTTTACGAAACAAGTGGGTGCCATCGATTCCGTTCACTTCGTGTGCTTCACTGGAGACACTACGATACATAGCCGCTGACCGAAGTCATTTAGGTTTCTACTGCCCGTTTCTAAAGAAGTTCTGGGGTGTATGTACCTCGGCCTTTCGCATTGGGCTATCACTAGGTTTCATTTCCTTTTTATGACTCTCTATTATATGGCTTTATCTTGCTGGCATTTTTGTACGACGGTGAAGTGTCAGTTTTCTCTCGATGTTGATGAAGAAAACAAGCTGTTAAGATCTCAAGAGCTTGTCACCCGTGAGCAGTTTACCAATTCGCTGGATAGAAGTGACTGGCGACAATTATGGCCCGTTCCTTCAAAGTGTGCCTATGCTTTCCCGTACCCATTACGAGTGTGTGCAGATGGCTGATGTTCGCAACACCATCAGTCACCAATAATTCTGTAAGATCTCTCCACCTACCGAACAATGGGACCTGAAAACACTCATATCATTACGGTCGGAAAAGCCCAGTCCCCTCGCCAACAGGGTCATCAAGGCGGAAGCCATTGTTCACCGAAATCCTGTTAACTTATAAGGATAGAGATTGAAAACAGCATAAAATGGATGTAAAAATGAAACAAAATAAAACAGCGCATTTGGCAAGGAACAAAAAAGTGTGGTGCGAACGTACGTCGAAATTAAATCAGTCAGTTCCAGTAAGACTCCTTGACCAACTGCTGCCATTTTCAGGACACTTGGTGTTTAAGCATAGGCATTTTGGTGGATTTGTAAGGAGCAAACTGGTGAAATAGATCTCCACTAGGCAGGTGATCACATATTAAGGTGTTTTCGAAAGCGTAACCAGCTTTTTCGCCGTCATCCGCGTGCTCATCAAATGAGTCTGTGGTCGAATCTGAATCGTCCCCTAAATCAGTGTATCGAGCTGAAATCTGCGGATTGGACATACGGTTTGTACGGGAGTAGAAACGATTTGTCAGCCGTCCCGGTTTGTGTTCATGCATCATTCCTCGCATTTTTTCCTCGAGCAAGCAATCGTTGACGGGACTATACAAATATTCGTCCGGTTCGCAGTCACCATCCTCAAAATCCAAGTAGGCTAATCCTCGACGCAGCTTCGGTGGTTCAGGTAGAAAAACCGGATCTGGAGACTTTGAATAACTATCACTTGAACGGTGAAGTTTGTCTTTCGAGTCCGGACGAGAACGTGCGACAAGCCTAAAATTCAATGGGTTAGCGACGTTATGATGAAGGGAAGACGGCCAAGACTCTTCGGCAGAGAGCAGACGTCCACAATTTTCGACTTCCTCCTCCACGCCATCCGCATCACCACACTTTCCAACACACATGGGGTCACTAATGCACAGTCTCGGTGCGTGCACACTGGAAAAACGCGATCGAATCTGATTAGGCAATGCGTTCGTGGTGGAACTGCACACCCGGTTTTCCTCACTATTCATGGCGAGCTGGTCGCGTATCGATCGACTGAAAGTTGAATACGGGACGAATTGATTATCGTTTGCAAGCTTGCTCCACATCGTCTGCCACGTGAACATGCCCGTCGTACAGCATATCTAGGGGTAGGTAGTTATTTAATTATCGTTCAGCTGTAGTACCCTTTCGGTGCCTAACTGCCATTCCATCCGAAGGTTGCACGAGGGTTGGGATACTGCCAGGTTACCCAAGCCCAGAGAGGCAGAGGTCGGGTTCGAGCCACGGACCTTCCAGTCAGTAAATTCGCGCTATAACCACTTGAGCCACCTCGCCCCGAGGGGTAGGTGGGACAAGAAAAAATTAAAGTATGCGTAGGACAATCGGAAAGATACAAGTGAAGATGATCTCGACAGTGTTTGCTCTCCGTCAAACTTGCACCTGAACTTCACATCGCTGACCAATGGGTCAACAAGTGATATCTGCCAGTGCCATTACTGATTGCCTTGTGTGAGTTCCCTGACGGTCCACACGTCCAAAGCTCTCCGGTGTGGATTTTTAGAAGGTACAATAGAATCTGATATGAGAAATGTGTACTCCAATAAACAGAAAGTCCAAGCATACTTGAACAAAAAGACATGCCTGGAGACAGAGCCTCTTGCTTACCAGGCATCTCAGCGTTCATGATAGATGCACCTAGAATCCTCATTCTAACATCTAGTAAATCCTCCCCATCTAGTTTTTAAGAAGATAGGTATAATGTCGGCATTCTGCTCACATATGTAAAAGTACTGCGTCTCTCAAAAAGATGCAGACAAGGAGCTTGGGATGCCCTTCAAATCGGGAAGGGGATATTGAGCAGTGAAGCACTGACGGCAACAGAACAGTTAGATAACAATCTGCGAAGTGTTAACTTGATTAGTCGACGAGGTAAAACATTGCTTGTCTTCATTCGTAGTATGGTGTTCTCACTGAAAATCTACATAGAGAGACAGACTATTCATGGGAATGGATGACAAACCACGGTATAACTTCGTTTCAAATTCTTATTATACCTTTTTCTCATTCAGACTCCCCGAAACCCTACTATTTTTTCCATATAGGATGATTACAATTCTCCAACTGATCAAAGTGGCACAAAACCCTGTACCTTTCTTGTCGCACTGAACATCGTAAAGATTTAATCGACCAAGTTATTCTCCCGTTTTTAGTTCAAATGGGGTTCTACGTTCAATTAAGATTTCGGCTCACAGATAAAGCCACGGCAACCTAGCAGAATGAAGTAGATGTGGTTCTCATAAAGGAAACTACTCACAAGGTCGCCGAAAACTTTTCGCAGCCCACGAAAGATTTAATCGACCAAGTTATTCTCCCGTTTTTAGTTCAAATGGGGTTCTACGTTCAATTAAGATTTCGGCTCACAGATAAAGCCACGGCAACCTAGCAGAATGAAGTAGATGTGGTTCTCATAAAGGAAACTACTCACAAGGTCGCCGAAAACTTTTCGACAGCCCACGACCGGTTTCGCCCTTCTTGGGGTTCATCAAGTAGGCGCAGTCCCCGAGTTTCCGTCAACCTTATGTTCTGCTTGAACCCAAATTGGACTATTTCCGAGAGATACACTCATTTGCAAGTCAATTTGGTTTTCACGAGAGACTCAACTGAATCTCCCATTTATGATATTCTACAACCGAATGTGCTGCACACAGACCGCCTCATGATTCAGTTGGCACGATATTCGAGATATCGCAGTATATTTTCATAAAGGTTTGTTGATGACTAGTGGAGGAGGATGAACGTCGGGAACAATTCGTTGGACGAAGTTTGAGTGGAAACCAAAGCGCTTGCTCAACGCGAAGTTGATAAAGATATTTCTTAAGGTTCCAATGCACCCAGAGCGTTTTTATCGACCTGACAATAGGGGGGCAGGGGAATCCACGGCTGCAGTCATCATCATGGACAGCCTTCAAAACCGGCGCTTTGCTGGTGTAATAGCGGGAGTTAGGGAAACAATAAATCTGATGGTGAGGATACAAGCAATAACAGAACGGAAAGCGTACGGTTTCCCAGGAGTCCATAAACTTCCTAGCGACTATTAGATTATAGCGCCATCAATGGACTTTATTTGATATGGTTACACCCGGACACTTCGCACAAGCAGTTCTGTAAATAGGTGGGGTTTACAGTTACTGAGAGAAAGTATGACGTCTTGGCATTTTGGGTCATCAGGAGTAAGACATAATTCGCCTGATCAGCTACCATCATTCAGTATAGTATAAAGCTGCGGATTTGCTCTCGGTGAACACGATAATCGCGCGATAAGACATTTCGAATGCATTTGCCCAACTAGATGCCATTTTACCCACTATTGAGAGTTTATGGTCACATACCATGGATATAATGCGAGGTTGGGTGTCGGTGGTCTGAAACGTGGACGTTTGTGTAGGACGGCCACGAACCCCCAAAACAGAGACAAACGCTCTACTGAGGAAGAGATGAGGGTATGGCTGAGTGTCCATACGAAAAGAAACTTTCCAGAGTTGCATTCTTTCATCGCTTTTTGTTATCCAGTTTTCCCATTCCCTCCAAGGTTTACTAAAAAAATTAGACCATGGGTTTGGACTATTCAAAGCATATGGAGATACTAAAAAATCGTTCAGCTGTAACACCCTTCAGGTGACTAGCTGCCATGCTACCCGAAGGAAGCACCAGGGCTGAGATACTGTCAGGTTGCCCAAGCCTAGGCAGGGGTAGTCGAGAAACAGAGGTCGGGTTCGAACCAAGGACCTTCCGGTCAGTAAATTCGCACTTGGGGCATCTCGCCCCCATAGAGATACTAAGCTATTATGATATGAAACAATTAAAGAGTGCAGTTACTAATGTATCGAAACACTGGTAGCTCGAGTGCAACAGAATTACCAAGCTCGGCGAACAGATCAATAGCCATCCAATCTACAACCGAAGAATGCTGCAGAGTCAGTTTATAAACGGGTTCGTTTATGTTCAGAAAAAAAACAAATCAGTGCCCTCGGCATGAGATTGTGTCAACACTACTCGTAGCCAGACACATATTCCGCCACAGACCAGTCAGACTCCAATTTCAGGGGGCCCCGCACTTCCGCACCCGTGGACCTCACGATTGCCAACTGATAGGTGTTGCAAGCCCTGAAATGGACGGGCGGGGAAGAGAAAACATACATCACGTGAGAAAGATCTTCCACGAACACCAGATTACAAAGCAGTATAATGAAGCCACTAATGGGTCTAAATAAGATTGTCGAGTTCTTTCAGAAACCCTATAAGTAGAGTTGTACAGAAATAATATGCTGCGACATCTGGACTGTCGTGCCAACCGAAATAGTAGACGGCCTTTGTGCAGCACATTCACTCAAATAAAAAAGTTAGTCTTTCATTTGTAACACCCTTTCGGTGCCTAGCCGCTATCCTACCCGAAGGAAGAACTAGGGCTGGGATATTGCCAGGTTACCAAGCCTAGACAGAGTAAGTCGAGAGGCAGAGATCGACTTCGAACCACAGAACTTTTGGTCAGTAAATTCGCGCTCTAACAACTTGAGCCATCTCGCCTCTACCTACTTCCACCTAACTTTCGTGCGTCAAACGATCCCCACAAAGGCTGACGGCAAGTGAGTGTTGTTCTACCCCAAAGTGCCGAACTATACAGTTTACAGACTTATGCGCAAGCCACCGAGTGGAAGGTCATGTCCATTCTTGACACCTCATTTGCACCTCTTTGGGAAACCTAGTACTAGTTTCCAATGGGGCGCATGGCAACCAGGTACTGGTGACGGAACTAGGGTTGTCTACTTCTGGAGAGACTACCTGAAGGGATCGGCTGAAAATAATCTCCTCTGAGAGGGGATCTCTTGCGAGAGGGATATGTTGGTTGGAAGTAGCTTCAGGAGACTACCCAAAGTGGTCACGACGGGAGACAACAACACTCGGTTTTCGATAATGCACACATGCTAACTAACATTACTATGTGATCAGTTAATCCTGTGTGTAAGCTGCCTATTTTGAATTCTAGCAGCTACCGCTTGCTTCAGCTCTGTGAAAGCCTCCCTGAAGGCACGTCCCATATCAAGGTGTGAGGAAAAACCTAATGAAGACCAAAGATAGTCAAAAGCAGAATAAAGGGCCTTTTACCCTTACTCTGCGCGGAAAATTGGGTGCCGAATCCAGCCTTGGAAATTGAACGTGCAAAACGAAGACTTAGATACAGTGTACTGTAAGCCGACTATACTAAAGAAGCTCCTCAAGAGCTGAATCCAGTGAGTGGAAGAACAAGGCTACTCACCGGCAATCACGGTAATAGAGCTGACGCATAGCATCGGTCACAGCCTGTATGGCCTGCTCTTCTGAAAGCTTCTTTGGATCACCACCAGCGAGATCCTCCAAGCGTTGTCGGAGCAGTGGAATGGCGAAGTAGGCACCGAAACCACTGGCCATGCAATCATCCATGAATGCTGTAAATGTGAAAAGGGCAAAATAATGTCACGTGCAAAAAACACGAAAACCTACACATTTGGGCACCCTGGCGGCTCCTCAAGGCGCTTAAAACCGTGAAATACATGAAAAGTGTCTTCACGTCACATCGTAATGAGATAAATGGGGTCGACCTATTCTCTGTACACATAACGGCAGTGTCATGATTTTTGTGTGGTTATTATTCTACTTACCATATATACTCTTACTGAACCTTTGTATGTACGTTTCAGCTCACCCACACCTGTTCTTAGACAAGTAAAACGTTGCTTATCCTCGAAAACCGGGACTCTGTTCTAACTGGTTCTCGGACACATTCTAAACATCTCAGACTGGTTGATGAAAAGACACAGCTGTTGCTTCCTAATGCCTTTCTTCAATGTCATCTCTTACTCCTGTTCTAGTTATTGCTCTTCTAAAGATCCCAGCTGTTAGCAGGTCAAAAAGCACCAAGGAAGATAATCTATTACATAACGCCGCTCATATCATTTGGGGTTAGCCATTGAAACCTCGTTCTCCCGCCCTGAACGCTTCGCTTAAAGTGCGAAATATTATTGGCTAGCAAGCCACCTCATGTGCGCATTCCAGTTACGTAATTGATAGATATTTACTGCATTTCCGAAACTCAAACATAGAATCCATTTAGAGCCCGGCCTAAAGCTGCCACCTTGACGTGGTGGTCGGGCTTGAGTGCTACAGCGATCCCGCGGGCTACACTGGCTGGAACTTCGTTCCACAAGGTGCAACCATGCCAGGAAGACCAAAGGGGAGCAGCCAGACCAAAAGCAGCAGACCCCGTACTACGAGTAATCGTGCTACGAGGCGGTCTGGGGGTAAAGTCGTACTGTCCTCTGCGACAGGAGTGTGAAGGCAGTAAGGTGTTTCCCCCAGGCGACCAGCATGTCCATATTTAT